CACTGGGGCGCCCGGCGGGGGCCCAGGCCGCACAGCCGGGGGCCAGCTACACGCGGCTGCAGCAACGCCGGGAGCGCCGAGCACTACACCAGCTGAAGCGACTGCATGAGGAGGGTGGGGGGCGCAGGCGCAAGGTGCTCCGGCTACAGGAGGAGGAGCCAGGTTGCTCCAGCGATGAGGACCCTGCCAGGCCAGCCTCCCAGGGGGCTGGTGACGTGGACATCCAGGTGGGGCACCCTGGGCCCTCAGTGCTGGAGTAGGTTGGGGAGAGCTTAGCCTGAGTGGGGCTATGGCCCTGGGGGGGAGGGGACCTGGCCCTGCGCTGGGGTCCAGGGGATATTGTCCCACCTCCCCTCAGGAGCCAGGTTTCTTAGACAAGGGCCTGGCCCCACGTTCTGTGGCCCCAGGTTCACATACCCTAGTGTAGCCCTTAGATGGGAGTAGGGAGGTTTCTAGGAGCCTGCCCCCTTGTCCCCACCAGGATGTGAAGTTCAAGCTCCGGCATGACCTGGAGCAGCTGCAGGCAGCCGCCAGCTCGGCCCAGGAGCTGACCCGTGACCAGATGGCCCTGCTCAAGCTGGTGCTGGACCGGGGCCTCTACCCGCAGCTGGCCGTGCCGGACGCGTTCAACAGTGGCCGCAAGGACTCAGACCAGGTGGGCGCCTTCACAGCCCCCCGGGGTGGTTTGTCTTTCAGTGCCTGTCAGGCCCCTGCTCTGTGCTGGGACACACAGCCTCGGGGTGAGGCCACAGACCTGTGTCCACTCAGCCCGCTCGGGCTGGGCAGGGTTGGGAGGGGGAGCCCCAAGGGCAGGTGCAGGGGGGCAGGGAGGCTTCTGGGGGAGGGGACTTCTGAGACGTGGAGGAGACCTGGGCAGCGGGAGGAGCTGGAGGGCCTCTGCTCTGTCCCCTGCAGATCTTCCACACCCGGGCCAAGCAGGGTGCCGTGCTGCACCCCACCTCCATCTTCGCCAGCAGCCCTGAGGTGCTGCACGCGCGGGAGCAGGAGGCCGAGGGCCGTGTGGGGAGCCGAGGTATGTGGGTGAGCAGAGGGGGCCTCTGCAGATGTGACACAATGACCTCAGGGCCCGTCACCGCCGAGGTTCCCTTTCTCCTTCCCTTTCTCCCCCACCCATGCTGCTGCTGTGGACGTGGGGCCTGTGGGAGGGGAGGTTCCAGGCCAGACCTACAGTAGCCTTGGTGGGTCACCCCCTCACAGGCCTCACCCGCCCCATGGAGCTGTGGGCTGACCCAGCGGCCAGCGTGACCGTCCCCACGTAGCGTAGTGCAGTCAGGAGGCCTGTCCCCTGGGCTTTGAGCTCCCAGCCGGGCCTGTCCCCTGGGCTTTGAGCTCCCAGCTGAGGAGTGTCCCCTGGCCCTATCTTCACAGACAGCCATGTTGCCACAGGCTCAGCCAGGTCACATTGGCAGACCTGGTCCAGCTGGGCCCCCATGACCTTAGATGGGCAGCCACATGTGAGCTGGTCGGTCCTGCCCAGCGGCCTGCCGAAGGAGCAGGCCCATGTGCTCGGTGGGCACCTCACTCTTCAGCCTCGTCTGCCAGTGACGGCTGCTCCTTGGCTTCTGGCTTCCGTGGGTGTGGGCAGCAGCCTGCCCTGTTAGAGTGGTAACCACTAGCCTAGGAGGGCAGAGTTTAGCGTTTTAATGAAGACAATCTGAAACATTTCTTGCTGATCCTTTTTTTTTTTAAATTGCCGGAGGGTGCATGTGCTTACCGGAGAGACAGAGAGGACACCTCCCCAGTGGAGTGTGGGCAGGCTGTCATCTCTTCCATTTCCTCCTCCTTTCAAGACTTTGGGCGTGCACACACAGTGCCTGGGAGGATTTCAAGCTTCTTGGGGCAGGATCTGAACCATGGCTGGCTATGTGGGATCCAGCTCCCTTATCCACCAGGCTACAGGGCCAGATTTCCACCCCACATCAATTTTCAAAATGTGTTTAAACAAGGTTCTGCTGTGCCGTGATCCACCTGCCTTGGCTCCCGAGTAACAGGCAGCGCTGTGCTGGCTCTTAGGGAGGGCCAGGAATGGAACTCAGGCCCCGGTGACCTCAGCCTTGCTGCTGCTACTGGGCCTTGGCCTCGCCGCTAGTGACCAGAAGTCTCCAGGCGGTTTGTCCTCTTCTCTCCTCCCTCGGTCATGACCCCCTCAAAACGTCCTCAGGGCACGAGCCCTGGTGCCCTACAGTCAGCTGGGCTGTCCTTGCCGCTTCTGCCCCCGAGGGTGGTGCCAGGCATTGTGTCACTTAGTGTGTCAATGAGCGGGATCGTTTCCACACTGCAGCGTTTTGCAGCGTCGTCATCACTCCTAACAATTACCAGACAGTTGTGCATGTTCGTTACAGCCGCGAATGTGAAATAAGCTGCAGATGTTTGGTTACCCGCGTGAGCGTGTTCTCTGCGTGGATATGTGAACTGGCCAGGGGGCGATGAGGCCCTGGGGACGGACGGCTGGGTTGGGGGAACTTGAGCTGTCCTCTTCGACTTTCAGATGACAAGGACAAGAGGAGCAGCGGACACCAGCTCCTCACCTTTGTGTCCCTGCTGGAGACCAACAAGCTGTACCTGGTGAACTGTGTCCGCATCCCTGCCCTGCAGGTGGGCCCCTGCCCACAGCCCTGAGGCCCAGTTAGAGCGCGTAGGCCAGGCCAGGGGGGTGTGTGCTGCATGTGTGAGAGAGCTGCTCCCACCAAGGAGCCCGTGGAGGGAGGACAGGCCCTGCGCGCAGTCCAGCACTCGGTCACGTGGAGAGCGGAAGTGGCAGGAGAAGGTAGACAGCAGGGTCAGCGGTGCGGAGCTGGTGGGCCGGGGCTGGGGCACAGGTGTAGGGAGCAGGCAGGCCAGTGGGCTCCCTGAGAAGGGACAGTTGGCACTGTCCTAAAGCTACGTGGGTCTCGGGGAAGGGCTCAGCCCAGGGGCGGCACGTGCAAAGGTCCCGAGGTGGATGCGCGCCTGGAGTGCCGGGAACGGCTGGTGCAGAGTCGGGGAGGAGTGGCCGGAGCTGAGGTCACTGAGGCCAGCAAGCCGGGGCCCTGGGGAGTTCAGAGCAGGGCTGGGTCAGAGTGTAACGCAGTGGAAGTGGGAGCCCAGCTGGGAGGCAACCTCGCCGCCCCGCTGGAGGATGGAGTTCGGGCGGCTCAGCGTGCAGGTGCACTTGGTGTCGGTCTGACCCGGGAGCGGTCCCAGCAGTAGCTGCTATACCTTGACTGCACATGGCCTGCCATCCTGGCCTGGCTCTGTAGGCCCTCAGGCAGCTCCGCGGTTGGCACCTGGGGGAGGACAAGACTGAAGCTCAAGGCAGGGGCTGGGCATGTCACTGCTGTCACACAGTGACCGAGGGCTGAGCCACACTGAAGGGTCACACTGATGCCTCCCTTCCCATAAGTTGGCTGTCCTCATTCCAGGACCCCCTGCCTCTGTCCCAGGGGACATAGAAGGGCGACCCTGGGGCTCCCAACACTCCAGGAGCTTTGCTGACCCCGGGATTTCCAGACACCATGGCAGCTAACGCCACCCTGCTCGTTCCCGTGCTTGCCCAGGCATTTCCCAGCAGCCCCCTGCACCGGATGCAGACTGTTCTAGGTGCCGGGCATGCGGCTGTGGGCCCCGTGCTCATGGTGTATATGCAGCAGGGGAGGTGGGCAGTGAGCACAGACACAGAGGTGAGGAAGGTGATGCCAGGTGCACGTACAGGTGCACACCCGAACCCTCGGGGAGCAGGCAGAGGGGCACTGGATGGACTGGCAGGCAGATGGACAGGCGGACGGGCTGGCGATGGAGACTGGATAGACGGGCAGGCGGACGGGCTGGCGATGGAGACTGGATAGACGGGCAGGCGGACGGGCTGGCGATGGAGACCTTGGGTAGACGGGCAGGCGGACGGGCTGGCGCGGGGGTG